AATGTTGAAAACTAGAATTATAAGGGAAATTAACTTGTGCATCTAATGAAAAGTGAAATCACAAAGCCCAGGCAATCATTGTGTTACGTGCTATTATTTTGTCACTGGGAGACATTTAAGAGTCCAAGGCAGAAAACAAACAAATGGAATTTTGGTTGAATTTGAGCCAGGCCATGGAACCCCAGTTTCCCAAATCTCTTGAAACCTTCATGGGCAGAGAAAATTTAACCTGTATTTAGATGAATTGCACAGATGGGCTGACACCTTTTCTGACAGCAAGCTAAACATATATGAACCTGCTTCCTTTGTGGTCAACTACAACATTAAGTGGAGTACAATAAAGACTATGTCTGCCTCTCTTTTCTGTCACCTTGCACTTTATTACCTCAAGAAGGGAGGCATCCATTGCTGATGCTATCTCAAGCCCCAGACCATCAAAAAACCAACTTCAGTTCCTTTATTTTCCATCATTTTCCCATTGACTCAGTAGTAACTCTGACTACCCATACAGAAAAGATTTTTAAAAAACAGATGAAATGTGTGCACTGAGGTTTTGGGTAACTTTTTCAGTAGCAGTAACTGAGAGTATCTTAGCTCACTGCAGTTAGTACACTGTTCTTCCTGGAAAACCAATTCAGCTTTAAACAGCCGATTTTCCCATGATGATTGAGAAGTAGATATCCAGCCAGTACTTGTCTAGGGGACTTACTATATTGCCTGTCTAATATTGAGCTCCTAAGACTCACCAACGTGGCGTACCATTTAAACTTTAAAAATTGCCTTTTATTCAAATATGGCAGAATTGACTATAACTAAGAAAAATTAAAGGAATAGCCCAGTCAAAAAGTGTATATTAATATTCCATCAGCAAATTTAAACTAATGTTGAAAATGAACGTTATGTTATTACTAATATTGAATGACTTATTAAGTAAAAATTAAACAAAATTAACTAAAAGCAGAAACGTAACCCAAGTAGAATATAAGCTGGAGTACTAAACTATTTATTTGAATAGTTTTTCAGGAAATATTATTTGAAGATACCATCATCTCACACTCTACTAAGGTGCAAAACAGATATAACAAAGCTTCTGTTAACAGTCAAAGGGAACAATTTTAAAGTCAATAATACAAGGTGCCACTCTACAACCTTAACTTAAAGGGTTGACATAAATTTAAGTGACTGTGTATTTATACAAGGTTTAAAACTGACACACAGTAGGAAGCACTATATGAATGCTTATTAAGTAAAGATATACTACATTATATTTATATGATATCACAAAATAGGCAAAAGCGTAAAAAAGAAGTTAGGTAGAACTCTTGAAGACATGCATAGGAAAAGACTTCATGAACAAAATCTCAGTCACATGTGAACTAGCACAAACAATCAACAAGTGGGATCGATCTCTTCTTATTAAAAAGCTGCACAGCAAGAGAAACCACCAACAGTGTGAAGAGACAACCCACAATGTGGGAAAAATTTTTACCAGCTGTTCCTCAGACAAAGGTCTACTATCTAGAATCTATAAAGAAGTTTAAAAAATCAGACTTGCCAAATTTAAAGACCCAATCCAAAAATAGGCACCTGAAATGAACAGACATTTCTCAAAGAAATAGAAAGAGCTAATAAACATCTGAAAAAATGTTCAACATCACCAGTCATCCAAGAGATGCAAATGAAAATAATGCTGAGACTCCAAAAAGAATGGGTGCTGTCAAGAAATCAACTAATAACAAATGCTTGTGGGGTTGTGGAGAAAAAGGAACCCTACTCCATTGTTGGTGGGAGTGTAGACTGGTGCAAGCACTGTGGAAATCAGTATGGAGATACTTCAAAAAACTAGGATTAGAGGTCCCATTTGACCCAGCTATTCCTCTGCTGGGTATCTTCCCAAAAGAATTAAAAGCATCATACCACAGTGATATATGCACACCCATATTTATAGTGGCACAGTTTGTAATAGCTAAATCTTAGAAACTGCCCAAATGCCCAACAACTGGTAACTGGATAAAGGAGATTTTTTTATATAAAATAGAGTACTACTCAACCATAATGCGAAACTAGAGGAATTTATAGCTAAATGGATTCACATGGAGGCAAAACTCTTTAAGTGAAATAAATAGGACACATGTAGATACTGAATAGTTTCTGTGGTGTGAGAAACTGAAAGTGTAAATGAGGATCAAACTATATCATAGATAATGTGAAATAGGAAGAAAAGGTCCAAAGGAGAAGGGGAAGGGGAAATGAGAGGGGTAGAGGGAAAGGAAAAAATGGAAACAAAGTCTTTGTAAATGGGAGGGATGGAGGGGTTGAAGGGAGGGCAGGGGAATGGGGTAGAAAAAAACCCAAGGTATATCATGTAAAGGTACAAATTCCCAGTGATGAATGTCATTCTATTGTATACCTAAAACATACCAGTAAACTTAATGAAATAAAGGAAAAGATAGACCTAAGGCTGGATGAAGAAATTGAGAACAGAAATGTCAAAGAAAGTTATTAAAGCCAAAGTAAAAGTCATTATCCCAGGCATAGAGTTGAGATAAATTCATAAAATAATGAATAGACCCAGATGACAAAGTACAAGGTGGAAGATTAAGTTTAGAGGTGAGTTAGGCAGTAATAGAATGAAGAAGATGCTATTGTAATATTTGTTAGTTTTATAATGTTTGGTGATGGTAAAGAGAGTCAGATCATTTTTTAATAGACAATCTCGTAGTCAGGTGTACAGTTACTTACTCACCATGGAAAATTCTCACATATGACTTCAGTAATGTCTGATAGTACACTTGTGCTATTCTTCAGAGAAAAGGAATAGTTAACATGGATGGAGCATTTCACTTTCAAGTTGGTATGCTACTCTTTAAAGCCCTTGGTTACAGATTTGGCAGTTTGTTTAGCGAGCAGATTCTTAGATTTATCTCCCTTTTCTTTTCCATATTGAATCTGTGCAGAAATTCCTCATAAAGAAGAAAAGGTCAACTCTGTTTTATTTTCTTAGAGGTAAAATTCATCCTCTAAGTTCTGTCTCTAGCTCAAATTGTTTGCTACTGGTAGATTGGGAGCTGACTGGAGACAGAATCAATTCGTCTAGCCTGTGGCCTCAGCATGTAGCTACCACGCCATATAGTAAATATTGAGAACGATGTATAGACCAGAGTTTGGTATAATTAGATTGGGTGGGACCAAAGTGAATAAAATAAAACATATCCTCTTTTTATCACTTTTTAAAGTTTTCTTATTTTCAAATCAAGTAAAAATTACGTAGAATGACATTAATTATATATTTAAAATGGTCTCTCTCCACCAGCAAATTTTACAAAGAGCCTCAGATAGAGCCTACTGCAGTCTGTAGTCCCACTAGATAGATTTAATTAAGAAATCAAAAGTGATTTCATTATGGTAGGCTGATAAACTATCATGATTAAATCTCATCTAGGTTCCTATATAAAGTCATACTCATTGAAATTACAAATCCTAAAAAAAACTGTTTAAGAATAGCTCACCATGTACATACTGCTAAAATTTTTTGTATTGCAGGTTTAGAAACATAAACAGTCTTATGGAGGCAATTTATGAGACTTTGAGTGTGATTAGTTCATTTAAGAAATAAAAACAGATTGCTGTAATAATTAATGAATACATTTATATACTTAGATCGTGAGGAAAGATCCTGGAAATCTAAACAGTATGCCTCATTCAGCTGACAGCTCTTTCTACCAATCGGTAGTGTTTTACCTTAACAAGACAGTCTCACATCAAAAGCATATGCTGCAAACTCCCAGTTCTTAAACCAGTATCATTGAAATTCAGACTGAACAAGTGGAAGTTCTAATAGTCTCTTGGAAATAAACAGCTGCCTGTAGATGTGTGACTTTGTTCATTTACTACATGTAAAATAATTTAGAAGTAGCATAGAAGGTAGAAAAAGGAGAAAAGAACTTTTTAAAATATACCTGTCCAATCAGCCACTTTAATGTCTTACAAAATGATTGGAAATGTCTTCTCTATGGAAATTCTCCTTGGTCAAATATATCTGAAGTAGTGACTGTGTTACTCATATTGGAAGAAATTTCCTAACAGAATTTCAAGCATGATTCAGCATAGAATGCCTAGGATCTACATGGCTATGTTTTTAACTTCCGTTTATTGATCAAAACTATTCTTCACGGCTTAGCCAACACACGTGGGAACAGTATGTATTCTCTCCCTACTTTTTCTTTTACTTTTTTATTGTGTCACAGTGGATGTGCCTAAGAAATATGCTTTGGAGCTCTTGCAGTGATTCGAAATAATATAGCCAAGTATTTTCCTAGATTTGTAAGGCCTTGGAGATTATGAAGATTAGAGGATGATTTGCAAACATAACCACAGCATAAGCTAAACAAAAAAGGACACATACCAAATGACGTCATTTATGCCAAGCTCAAAAGCAGACACAACTAGTCGATGGCCTTGTCAAGACAGTGGTCACCTTGTGTTTGTAGTTGGAGAACTAAGTATCTGAGTGGGACCTGAGGGAGGCTTCAGGATGCTGATAAATGAAGAGCTTCTGGATGTGAATACTGGTCGACGGAGTGGGTTAAATTTCTAACTCTTCATTAGCCATTCATTTGTTCTTCGGTATGCCATATATCAATAAAATTTCCATACATAAATAAGCAAATAATTAAATAAAGAAAGAATGGAAAGCACTTGAATTTCCTTTACCTAATTCCAATAGCATATTGAAAAGGGGCTCACACATCACTGTAGTTGTACTGATTCGAAGTATGCAACTACTTAGCAGCAGGAACCACACTGGCTGTGGGATCTTCTGGCCTCACATCTTGTAGGCGTTCTTTTTGTTCTGTCTGTAGAGGGGTTTTGTTTTGTTATTTTTCCCTGTTTTGTTTCCCATTGTGAACTGCACTAACCTCAAAGACCCACGAGACAGACTGCTGACGGGAAGCTCATTGGCCCTTCTGTGTAAACTGACACTGTTTGCCATGTTGCAGGCGAGTTGTGCGAGGAGAAGCTAGACTTCTGTGCCCAGGACTTGAACCCCTGCCAGCACGACTCCAAGTGCATCCTGACACCCAAGGGATCCAAGTAAGTCAGTGGCTGCCTGGGGCTCGCTGCGGGTAAACGACATCATCCTTTTTGGAATCCCACTTCTCCACCTCTCTTAGTTTCACACCTTTCCTCATGATCCAGAGGACATACTAGTGCCATGGAATGCTCCTGTGGGGCATGTACTTGCTGCAGTGCACTTAAACAGAAGAAAATATTTCCTTTTGTTCCGTGACTTACTTGGAGAAGTGATTTATGAAATAAAATAGCCTTTGAGTCAGTTTTTGAAATTTATTTGAAGGCTAATGCAATTAAATTTCTAATATCCGGTAGATACCTTTTATCTGAAGATAATTTGGTGGTAAAATAGAGAATTTGATTTTACTGTAAATGAAAATTCTGTGGTCTAAAACAAGACTTTGACTACTCCAAGTGGGAAAGATACAGTGACTGCTCATCTCAGGTTGCCCTGGTCAGCCCCAGGTTATGTCTCTCTCAGCTTACTGTAATTACTGATAGCATTCCTTTCATCTTAAATATGTCCCGTGGGATGATAAACCACTATTGTCTTGCTTGCTAGAGGGTTTCCACAAGTGGACTCAGAATGTCAAAATCATTTCTTTTTCCTCCCCAGGAAAAGGAACATTTCTGACGTATGTTTTATCCCAAATTCCATGATTTCACTGTGGCAGTCCTGAAATATTATAAGGGTCTAACAACAGCGGCATTTCTTTACAGAGGGACAGTAGTTCAGAAATCATCTAAACACAAAGAAGTCCGGGACAAGTGGGTTTAGATGGCTCTCCAAAGATCTCTAGGTTGTGTAGGCTTGATAACCTTTCCAGCTGGCTAGTTTTTCTAATTCATGTTATTGCTATGGCACTTTATAGTATATGAACACTACATTTGGTTTATATAGATGATAGGTGGGTTTCATAGGCATGACACACTTGGGTTCAGAAGTTGAGCTGTACTTACATCAAATAATTAAAAAACAGCATTATTTGTTCCTTCGCCTAATATTTATTGTAGATCTACTGTGGTCAGTACATGTTTTCGTAGCACTTTTGTATTCACTTCCACATACTTTTTCTCAGTGAAATGACCCAATTGCCATAGAGTCAGAGAGTCATAAACTACTCCAGTCAGGAACAATAGCATAAGAGAGGACTTGAAGTACATTTCTAAGATTTTGATATTTATCAAATAAATCATCAGACATTCTAAATCAGGTGAGAGCTTGGGGTCAGTATGGCAAGAGCCCCACTGTCCTTCAAAGATCAATCTGAATTAAATATTCTCAAGTGATCTTTTAACAATAGTCTTTTGTTTCCATTTGATTGAAAAATCTAAATTTTTAGAATATACAGATGTAGTTGTAGCACCTACTGATTCCATTTCATGTCTTACAGAGAAAGAAAGGGATGGCATTGAGTTTACTCTCACTGTATTTTAGTTCATACCCTACACTGAAACCGAAAGTCTTGCTGCAGTTTTTACTTTTGACAAAATTATGCATTACTTTTTATTCAATCAAACACTACAGGTAAATTATTTTAATGCCTGATGTCTTTGATATGCCCACTTTTGAATTTAGTGAAATGAAAGGCCATCACTTTAGATAAATATCATTTCTCGGGGAAATCAGAAGGCAAATTTTCTGGAACTGTCTATCTACTAAGTAGATTTCACAGGGCTTTCAGCATTGTAATTATAGGATAAAGTATTACTAAGGCTTAATGGGAAACCATTGAAAATTAGAGACTTTGTTTTCAAAAAGAGGACTGATTCTTAATTAAAAATCTTCTATTGCTATCAATTAGATTACACTCTCTTAAAAGGGCATTTTGCTGGATTGTGGATTAACTGATTGAAAGTCCACTGTTTTCAGCAGTCAGTAATTCATGAGCTCCTTGTATAGCTATCTGAAGTTTAGCTGAAAACAGGTTAATTCAGAATGTGTGCTGTTAATCTTATAAATAATTGCATATTGTGGGGAGGCTGGATGCAGAAAGAAAATAGACTTAAAAACCAAACAAAATGAAGCTAATAAAAAATATACCTACTAATAAATGTTATTTAGACAAGTTGTACTATTACTTCAACTTCATTTTCTTGTTACTAAACTAACATAGTGAGTTTTTCTTTTCTTGCTGTATTATATACCTCATAAATCTCCTAAATTACTTTGAGATATTTTTAGGGCAAGATATTCCATAAGCAGTATTTTCAACCATGCATCTTACTTAGTCAGCTTTTGGGCTTCTAAATAGTTTATTTTATATTCTTTACTTTTTCCTCACTCCTTGTCAGATAGAAGAGTAGAGGAAATATGATAGGTTTTACTCATAATACAATTTTTGAAGAATTCTTTTTCACAGTTTTTTTCTTCCTGTTTTGATGCTTGGTGTGAGGAACAAAAGAAAGACAAAAATATTAGTCATGTATTACTCCAAGTTCTAATGGGCTTAAAAAACAGCATTTGGAAAGTAGAGAATATAAAATACCTCTTAGATAGCCACTGTGTTGAAGGCATGGTTCTATTATCTTTTACTTTGATTTCTTTTCCCAGATAAATAATTCAGAGCATTTCAAAGTGTTTTTTCTTTCTTTTAATGCTTGGCACTTCAGCAGCTCTGTTTACATTAACATTGATGGGAGTTCTCTTCTATGGCCCTGTCCATCTCTTCAAGAATCTGTATGGCCACTTAGGGTCCATTTAACTTCAGACTTGCTGTTTACTTTGCTTTATTATGATTTAGCACTGAAACAAACTGGCTGCAGAGCAAGCACATTTATGCTTTGAGCTTATTTATTTCTTAATTCATATATGCAAGCTGAATATCTGTTACTATTAGAGGGTATATACTCCCATTTGTTTCAGTTCATTTGGCTTTCCAAATGAATTTTTATGACAAAAACCTTGGCATTCAGTAATAATACATTCATTTGCATGTTTTTACTTATCCTTTCTTAAATTCTAATATTTTTGAAATAGAACAATAGATAATTAGTATCAAATAAATCATAAAGACTTGTATAGAATTGTAAAGACATAAATACAAACCACTTATTGATTGTGCATTATATCTAAATATTATATCAATGCCTTTATACCATAGTATTTTTATTGAATATTTATCGTATTTTTGAGATGGAAATGATTATGTGTATGGTACAAATGACTACAGGAACACTTGAGAAATTAAGTAAAGCAGTCAAGAATACATTTTATGTTAATTGAAATAAACCAAATATAGAAAAAATACATTACATGATCTCACATAGTTGTGGAATTTTTAAAATTTAAGCTCATAAAAATAGAAAGTAGAATGTTTGTTGCCAAGATTTGGTTGTAAGGAAAATGAGGAGATGTTGGTTACAGGTATGAAATGTCAGGTATAAGATGAAGAGGTTCCAGAAGACTTAATGTCTATGCCCTGGTGCCTCTAGATAATAGCACAGTGCTAGATACTTGACATTTACTAAGAGAGTACATCCTAGGCATTTTACCACAAAAGGAAAAAAGATAACTTTGTGAAGTAACAGATATATTGGTTACTTTACTGTAGTGACATTTCACAATGTATATATTTATCAAACCTCCTATTGTGCATCTTGAAAATACAATTTCTGTTTGCTAATTATAACTCAGTTTGCAAAGGGGAAGAGAAGCAAGGGATGGAAGGAGTGGAAGGAAACGCAAGGGAAGGAAAGAGAATTAAGATGTGCCATGGAAATGTGCATCCCATGTGCCCCAGGAGGCATGTAATCATTATGTATTTTAAACGTGGATCGATAAAAAATTTAAAACTGGAAAAAAGAAAGTTGATATGTTGAAATAAAAATCAATAATAACACTTATTGAAGACATCAAGATATTATAAAAACAGTTCTGTATAACTGCAAAGCCCTTGTACTGTGAAGCTAAACCATAGTTTTCTGGTTTATATGTTTTTAAAAGTCAGTGGTCTCTTAAATCCAAAGCAAAAACACTCATGGAAACGCAAAGGGAGAGAATGGGGGAGGATGGAGACTGAGAGGCTTCCTGAGCCTCTCCACCTGTGGCCATGCCTGCAGGCATCCGCAGTTCCCATGCATACAGAACACATGTACTATTTCACACTTGTCCACAGAGGAAACTCTGAGTTCCAGTGAATGCCTGAAACCCCTGATAGAAAGCAGCTCTATATAAACATATCTGTCATAAAGTGGAATTTATTAATTAGGCTTGGAAAAAGATTAACAATAACTAATAATAAATTGAACAATTATAACAGCATACCACAATAAAAGTTGCGTAAATGACATCTATCTCTTTTTCTCAAAATATCTCATTGTTCTGTTTACCCATCTTCTTGAGCTCATGTGAGACAATATAGTACCTGTGTAATGATCTGAAGTCAGATGAAAGCCAACATTGGGACACAGTGTTAGGCTATGACATGAGGGCTACCTGAACACAATGTATATTAATAATTTTCCTGTTCCTTGCACAAAAACACATGACACCCTCAACTTAAAGGAGAGGTATATTTTGGCTCATGGTTTTTAGAGGATTCAGTCCATCTTCAGTTGGCTCCAAGACAGAAGTTCCATGGTGGAAGGGCCTGGTGGAGGAAAGCCCTTCAACCTATGACAAAGGGCTGAGAAGGGAAGGAAACAGAGAGAAAAGGAAGGATTCAAGAGCAAGAACACATCCTTTCAGGTCATGCATCCAGTGACCCATACCCTCCATCTAGGCCCCACCTTTGAACATGAGACTTTGGGGGGGACATTTTACATTCGAACTGTAGCATTCAGACATAAAGTTACTAAGTTACTATTGTGTAGGTAGCCTATACAGCATGGATACACAGGACAAAGGAATGATTCACATTCAGGGCAGGAAGGAACAGGACAGAGTAACATTTCATTACTGACAGTGCTGCCCAATTAAAAGCTTATAATTGTTTATTTCGGCAGTTTCCACTTTAATATGTAATATTTTGACTACAAGTAATTTAAACTATAGAAAGTGAAACTGTGGGTGTGGAATACAGTAGTTGAAAACTGCTACATGTACCATATTGGTTTTTCCTCATTGCTTTTCCATATTGGTTTTCCTTGATGGCATAGCTTGGGAAATGGTCTGCATTAGAGAAGGATGGGTTTTTAAGGAAATTTTGTGAAACTGATTATCTGACATAGTGCAGTAGCTAGAAAATTCAAGCTGCCTTGTCATATTGCTTGAGTTTAATTCCTGCCTAAGGTACATAGTAGCTGAGTATGCTTGGGCAAGGTACTTCACATCTTTGTCCCTGAGTTTCTCCACCTGTACAGTAGGTATAACAATATCATCAGTGGCTGCAGAGCAGACACAATGAACCCATAAGGGCCAAGTGGTTGAAATGGGGCCTGGCCCAGAGGAAGTGCTCAGGGAATGTTCAGCTGCATCATTACCTACCTTCTTCATCATCAGTGCAGCTATGGCTGTTCTCTCTCTTCTTGATGAAAGTGAACTGCTGAAAACCAGGCCATGGAATTGGCTCCAGGAATTCTGCATCACATCCCCTACCCCAACCTATCAGGCCTGCCCTGAGTTGTCAAAGTTGTCATCTAGATTCATTCAGAATTAACTTACCTGATATTAATGAATCTGGTTTTCTCAAAGTTGTATTTTGTCCCAGTACATTCAGTCACGATGGGAGAACTAAAATGTTAATCATTTAAAAAGTATTCTTAGTATTCTCAATAAATTTTACAACATAGCACTTCTGTCATCCCTACAGTCAAATGTAATGGGCAGAACTGAAAATAAAATTTACTCCAACTAAAATAGGGAGAAGGGGAGGAAAAGAAAAGAGTGAGATGGAGTCAGGGAAGTAGAGGGAAATCCTGATTCCATCATTCTGTTGGACATTATTATTTGGACACTAGTCCCTCAGTATGAAAAAAGATACTCAGGACAGAAGAGATAAAGCCATTGATCCGTTGACAAGTCAGAGAAAGCCATGCCATACTTTGCAGCCAATTCTATTTTCTAGACATCCATTAGTTTGGTGAGGAGACTATTCTAAATCAGTTTTTTTTTAAGCTACTGTCATTGTTTCTCAATGAAATTCAGCTGTTGCATTTGAAACTTTACCTGCTTGTTCATACAGGTGTGACTGCACACCAGGATACATCGGTGAACACTGTGACATTGACTTTGATGATTGCCAAGATAATAAGTGTAAAAACGGTGCACACTGCACTGATGCACTGAATGGCTACACGTGCATCTGCCCTGAAGGTTACAGGTAAAAGCAGAAGTACGCGTTTATATTTAGAGTGAAGTCTTCCAGGACTCAAATCTCATGAGAGCTAACATTTTTTTCTCCTTATTCTTCAGTGGTTTATTCTGTGAGTTCTCTCCACCCATGGTCCTCCCTCGGACCAGCCCCTGTGATAATTTTGATTGTCAGAATGGAGCTCAGTGCATCATCAGGATAAATGAGCCAATATGTCAGTGTTTGCCTGGATACCAGGGGGAGAAGTGTGAAAAATTGGTCAGTGTGAATTTTGTGAACAAAGAGTCCTATCTTCAAATTCCTTCAGCCAAGGTTCGGCCTCAGACAAACATTACTTTTCAGGTGAGAAGTCCCCGTCCAGCAAGCACTGATCTGATCATTGACCAAACTTAGCTTGGAAGAATGAACATGCGGGTAGCTTGTAAATGACAGTATTCCCTAAACAGCTAGTTAACAATTGCATGGTACAATCACAGAAAATTCTCCTTGTGTGACAAGCTTCAGTAATTTTGCTCTCTGGTATTTTTATTCACTACCTGGTTTTAAGGTTGAAACAATGCAGCAACAAAATATGCATCTCCCTTTTATGCTTGAGTAGAAGTATTTTTATCTATTCATTGTATGGCTCTGCAGTTCAGCCTCTGAGACTTTTCTTAAGAGACTCAAAGCTAAGAAGGGAAGAGGTGAGCCAGAACAGCTGGATTCAGCTGTTTCCTATTTATCCAGAACCTAGAACTGGCATAAAATTCACAATCTTCAATTTTGAGTCTTTTTCCTAAGACACTCTTTAAACAAGTCCTGCAGACTCTTGGGAAAGAGGTTGTACTAGATTAGCAGTGATCAATGTAGCAATACGGGACAAATTGTGGCTACCTGTTTACCTGGCAGGCAAGCATGCAATGTATTTTGAATTTAGATGACTTCAGGCATTTTTCTGTAGACCTTACTGCTTCTTATTTGCTTCTGTTGACATTCCAGTGAGGGCTGAGGCTTGTTTGAAGTCATGGGGAATGAGACTCTAGGAGATAAGCAATCTCTCTTTAAAAATCTGTCTTCTGTCTTCCACTTTCCAGGGTTTGCTGTACTGGCCACTTACATGCAGAGTGGTGTTGGGGTCTAAATTCTTACTTTCGCATATCTTTTCCTTTAAAACCCCAAGAGGAATAGGGTGGGATACAAACACGTGTTTCCTTCTGGAAACACATGGCAGCAATATGAGGAATTTTAATATGATATGAAAATCAAACTTGCTCTTTGCAGTTTACATTTAGTATAGGCCAAAGATAAGGTTGATGACAGGAGCAGAAAGAATAGGAAAATCTCCAGCCAGTAAAGCTCTGAGCATGTCCAATATGTTCACTGAAGTATTTTTTGTTCATTCTCAATTTTTTATGAGTCTGCATACAATGGAGTTATCTGCAGCCCAATCAGTCACCCTTCAAGCAGGATTTTCAGTAGGCATTATTTTCTCTTAGCCATAAGGAAAAAAAGAAGCCAAAGTAAAAACTGCTCTTTGTGCTTAGTCTTTTCTTTTTGATAAAATATGTTTGGTTGCTGTGCATCCAGTAATGTCAAGGCTTCTCCCTTCCAGATCGCCACAGATGAAGATAGTGGCATCCTCCTCTATAAAGGTGACAAAGACCACATTGCCGTGGAACTCTACCGAGGGCGAGTTCGTGCCAGCTACGACACTGGCTCTCACCCAGCTTCTGCCATTTACAGGTGAAGACCTCTCAGTTACTGGTAAAGGTGAAAAAATTGTTTAATGAAGAACTGCTTCTTCTCTATAATTTCATGATGGGAAAGGGAGAGAATAATTTGGCTGTAGCGGGTGTCTTAGTCTGGTTTGTGCCGCTATAACACAACACTTCATATTAAGTCATTTATAAGGAATAGAAAATTTATTTGATTTATTTCTTACAGTCTGAGAGGCGAGGAAGTCCACATCCACCAAGGGTCCTTAGCTACATCAAACCATGGTGAAAGGCAGAAAGGCAGAACACACACGAAAGGGGGCCAAACTCATTCTTCCATAAGCAATGCAGAGTAACTTTCCCACTCCCTCCATACCAGTATCTGCATTCACAGCCCTCATGAGCTACTCATTTCTTAAAGGTCCCAGCTGTCAACGCTACTGCCTGGGGGTCAACTTCCCCACACACGAACCTCAGAGGACACACTCATCTGACCAGCAGGGTTTCTGATAGCCTTAGCATCAACACCAGCTCTCTATCCAGGAAGAATCTTGTGAATGCAGCAAGACAAGTGCAAGGATAGCCTATGTACTTACTCTTTTATTCTTTGAAAGATTTAACTTTTCAGATAAGTAATCTTTTATTACAAATAGTCTTGGCAGGGCAGTGTAACAGGAGTGGTTTGATTGCAACAAACTAAAAACAAATTTCTGTCAAATCAAGACTCAGCTCTCCCAGAGCACTTCTATGTGAAAATACAGACCCAGTTTCACCAGACTAATAGTTTTTCCAGGAAAGGCAAAAACCTCTGTGTGTGTTTGTGTGTGTGTGTGTGTGTGTGTGTGTGTGTGTTTTACATATAAAGCTTTCTCTTTTAAATACTGATTCATTTTTTTAAATACCATATATTTGTAAAAACACATCTGTAGGCCAAACACACTGGCAGCAAGCAACTAGATGTTGATTTTGACATAAAGTTGAGCGAGTGGCCTGCATCTTATTCTTGCATATATAAATGTTCTTCCAAGTCTTACCTCTTCCTGGACCCTTTATAAGTAGGTCTGGGAACGTAGATGCCAAGTGTAGCCATGAATGGAATTCAATAAGTCCTGTTTGTGGTGAACTAACCTGCACGGAACTATTAGAACATGGAAACAGACACATACTTATTGGTTTCCAAGAAGACTACAATAGTTATTTCACCTCCAAATGGTTATGAACTAGTGCCGACACTTTGGGTATTAGTAGGCTTTAAATTACATAGGCTCAATGTGTTTAAGCTCATAAAAAATTTTCATATATGTGATTCATTTTTATTTCTTGATGATAATGAAACAGCATGAAGTTCCCAGAAACCATGGTGAAGGTTTATGGGTTGGCTTATTAAAGCTACCATCCACATAAAATACATTGAAAATATTTGTAGATAAATTGTAGAAAACTAAGTGATAATATCCAAATGAAGAACTAGTTTTGAGGTGTTTTTATGTTCTTTGCCATTTTTGCCTATCAAAAATTGAGTGCACCCTCCCTGTGACATTTATAAAAAGTGTATTATGTTGCATCTTCTTTATAAGAAATGAGAAGTCCATTTTTCTGCTGGAAGATCTTGTAGAGGAGACATATCATATGAGGAGGCCCAGGGCAAACTTAACTTTAATTTTTTCCTTTTAACATATGACACAACATTTAGGGAAAGCTATTATTTTTTAGTAAAAGAAGAGAGCCAATAACTAGCTAGAATTCAGATAGGGAGATTTTTATACATAATATGAATTTATGTTAATTATATATTATGTCAAAGCAGCTAACAATGTACTAACAAAAAGTAAAGAAGTACGGAAAGGAGAAGAGAAAGAAAGGAGAGTGAGAAGGTACAGGGGAAGAAATGAGGGAGAAAAGTGTATGTGTGATATTGAAAGGTTTCCAAATACATTGCTCAGTTAAAAAGAAAAATAAAGCAGAACAGTATCAAAGGAGGATGAACAAATACAAGAATCATATTTCCATGTACTTTCCTAAAGAAAAATTAGGCATGGAGAGGAAAGACTGTGGTAGAAGCAAGGGTTCTCCATGAGTACCACCTGATAACATTTTGATTTTGGACCACGCGAATGTCATTAGCACAAATGAGGTATAGGAAAGAGCCAGTGCCACGGATGGTCTGCCTTGGTCTGAGGCCCAGCTCTGCCGCTCTTCACTGTGTGTCTTGGACAAACTGTGTCGGCTTTGGGGCCTCAGCTGGAACATGAAGGTAATAAAATAGTGTCATACTTGAGCGATTGCAGTGAGAATTTTATTATTTGTTAAATTTGTTAAATTATTTGTAAGACTTTCAGAATAATGCATGGCAAATAGTAAGGAATGACAGTGACTGGTTTTGTAAATTCAGAATGTTTAAAACTGAATTCCTTTCACTTTCCTCATAAACATGCGTTCCCGTCACATTCTTTATTCATTCAAAGGCATCCCCAGTGTCTTGGGCATCACAGGTGTACTGGACTTACCCATAATCCTTTTCTTCCCTGTGCTTCAGTCTCTGTCAAATCTCAACCCAGCTCGGGCTAATTTTCTGGCTTCTGACCAAATGTCACAAACTGTCATGGCCTCTGACCTCGCTAGGTCTTTGAAAAGTGCAGAATGTTTGACGAAAGGTACCACTTCTCTATCATAGTAAAATTCATTAATAACACTGTCGCGATCAGGTTTCCCGTAAGTTACTGAGTAAATATTCAGTTTGATTGAATTAAATTTTTAAATCATGATTTGTTTCCAACTTATATAACACTATCAAAGATACATCATACTGATGTTTTAAAAGAGAATATTTTACACATTCTTATTTTACATAACTCGTCCAATTTAAGTTCAATTTCATTACCATGATTTCATATTTTACAAATTTTCTTAGATAAACCACTTTTCTTAATTATGCATTATTGAATGTGCTATTAGAAATAAATTTATGTATCAGTGTATTTTATCAATTTCTAATTAGTTTTCAATAATTAGGAAATGGATTTTATTTAGTAAAATGAAATCTAGCAAGGTGGGAGAAGTAATCATACATTAATTTATTATTTCTATTGGCTATTTTTAGTTTAAATAACTTCATTTTAGGTACTAGTTATTGTTTGAAATAAATCAGTATGAGAAAAATTATTTAATGGAATTATATCTGGAGTGATAATTTGCAGTCCTTCAAAGTGACTTTCTTTTTTTAGATGAAAGGACACTTTTTAATAAAGTTATCAATGTAAGATATATGCCTCTTTCTTCAGATTCAAATTAATGACCTTTCCAAACCAGATGACTTCTTTGGAAACTAAGCTACTATTTAAAAATTAGGACAGTAAATAAACACAGTTTTAAGTGTATTTTTTAAAACTACAAGATGTAGTAATTTTTCTTCTAGCAATTGAACGGAAGGAAGTTGCATGCATATTTGCTAGTGTTCTATCTTCCATCCTGGTAAAAGATGGTGGCTTCTTTCATACATGTGAACAGTTTTCAGCACCAGGCATGCAGGCAGGGTATACAGCGAGTGTGCTGGGCCACACCTCTGCTTCTTGATTCAGTAGGTCTTCAGTGGGCCCAAGAATTTGCATTTCCAACAAGTCCCCAGGTGATGTTATTTTCCAGCGACTATACTTTGAGAGCAGTTGCTCTAAAAGTAATCTACTCAAGCTGTGTTTTGAGAGCAGACAATGCACATTTCTGTCCATATCCAACTTCCAGTGTGCACATTCCTGGTGTTATCTTGAAATCAGTGATGTTGGGAGTTTTTCCACCACCAAAATCAACAAATGTTACAAATCTGTGCTATTTTCTTTTTTCCAAAGAACCAACATGTAAACATTTGTCAACACCCTGCTGTATAAAGGACTCTTATTAGCAACAATAGAAATGAAATGAGCTGACAACAGAGTGAATGTGGAACATGCCTGATTTTTACAGCACATAGAGAATAGCATAAAGGAGATTCAGAAACAATGCCACGAATGACTGAATGAATGGCTGTCTAAAATTAAAGTTAACATCAGACGTAGCCCTCAGACATGGATGGAGTAATACATTTCTATTCTCAAGAGGGCTGATAATTTACTGCTCTTCAAAGCAACTTTCTTAAAAGAAAGAGGAAACTCTTTAGCAAAAGTTCTTAATGAAAAATATACTTCTTTCTTTAGATTCAAACTAATGTGCTTTTCCAGATCAGATAGCTTCTTTGAAAACACAGTAAACTACTGCTTAAAAATTAGGAAATTGTATGAACCATGAGAATAATGCGCAAGACAGTACTGTGCACTAATCAGTTTTCTGTGTAGGGGCACTTTCTACTGCCTCCTGCTAAGCTAAGCTTAGTTGACCACAGAGCTTTTGGAATGTCCTACTTCCTTTTTTTTTTTGAAGAAAGAGTGACAAGAAGGAAGGGAAGGAGGGAAGAAGGAGGGAGACTGAAAGAGAGAGGCAGGGGGACTGAGAGGAGAGAAGGAAAGAAGGGAAGGAAGGAAAAAAAGAAGGAGAAAAGAAAGAAAACAGACTTTGACAGAGATGGAATATGTTCCTACACTGCTCAGTCTCACTGGGGAGGCAGACAGTAAACAGAATCTGAAAGGTAGTCTTCTTTAAGAAGAATATAATCCAGTCGGCCATTATGATCTGTCATGTGGGAGTCACCACCATTTACTTTATAAACGTGGGCAAGTTGCTTCACCTCTTGGTGCTTCTGTTTCCTCATCTGAACAACTGGAATTGTATCTCTTGTGCACATGTGGTTTGAAGAACTGGAAGGAGCAAGTTCAAAGCAGCTCACACAGAGCTTAGCACAGAGTAGACCCAGTTCATTGGTTGTGCTATGGACGCACTTCATGCTCTGATACCCAAATACTGACAAATAAATATCCAAAGGAGAACTTTTGCCTCACATGTGACCCTACTGTCCAACTGTAAAGCTTCCTTTCTATTTTACTGGATTTTATTTAAAATTATCTGCTTCAGGGCCGAGGATTTAGCTCAGTGGTTCCACCACCTGCCTCGCAAGCGCAAGGTCCAGAGTTCAATCCCCAGTACCAAAAACAAACAAACAAAAATCTGCTTCAAAACCACTGGTTAGAATATATTACTTCATAAACTATTTTATAAAACTTTCTTGTGAAGATCTCTTTGGGGTACATTAGACATAAATACCTTTAAGCTCATGTGACTTCCTAAACCTTTAGATAGGCAGAGACATTTTTATTACTATCCTCACTTCGTGGATGAAATATCTTCAACCCAGAGCTACCAAAATGAGATGACCAGTTGATTTCCTCTGATTTTAGATTCCTCTTCCATTGTGTGGACTGTGCCACCAAATTTTTTAAATTTTCAAGGAAAATGCTGGTGTTTACATAAGCAAAATTGAAATTGTATCTTTTTTAAACTACTGAAGTAATTTAATATTTGTGGTTGATGTAGAAATATAAAAAGTGTCATCGTTAGTGGATGCTACATGCATGAAGAGAAAATATTTTAGAGGCCTTCTTTTCTGTTAAGCCCTGAGTTTTAAAGCTTTTTCTTATGTAGTAAACCAAAGGCATGGTTGAGAAATTGCATGCTTTTCATATATCTTTTTACCATCTACAAATTCAAGAAAACAAAATCTCAGGTAGTAGATGAGTGTAGTAAAAGTAAATTACATAATAATGGTAGTAAGTGAAATTTATGTGCCCAGTGGAGAATCTCAAAGTTAAGTGGTTCGCTTGCTGCTTTTTGTGAGTCATCAGATGTATAGTTCCCCAGGGACTGGTGAAAGAGAATTTATCAATACTTATGAGAACTGGAAAGGATATTATGCACTGCAAGTGGATGTGTTAAGCGATAACTACATAGACAGTAAAATCCATGATAGCTCGGTCTTACACTGTACCAACTGATATGTCAATCATTGCATATGTAGACAAAGGATTCTGGGACAACCCCCTCCCCCCACCCAGTTTATCTCATGTTAAAGAAGACAGCTGGGAAGACAAATTTAGACTACTGTGTCAACTTGACATATTGTCTTCTGACCCATGCACACAGTATCATCTTATAAAACAAAAACTCTGAAAGTATTAACATGGCCATACTTACATGTTAAAAGGCCAAGATCAGGCCAGAATTTAAAGTTAGAATAATCTGTATAATCTTCAAACTTAGCATTAAAAGATTTTTGCTTTTTTATTAAAAAAATTTTTTTTTTTAGAAAATATACCGAGTCGTGCAATCCTTGTATAAAGTTATTTGTTATGTGACTATTCGTGGGCTATTGGAGAGAAACGTCATATATTAAAGGCTTAGCACCAGTGACAACAAATAAAATTTGTATAGTTATAGGTGCTCTTCAGATTTTTTCAATTGAAAAAGCAGTGCATAATAATTAAAAGCACACACAGCTAAGCCAGGCAACCCGGCTTCAAATCTGATTAGCTATTAATTAGCTGTGTCACCTTGGGTACCATAAATGCCCAAATCTTGTGAGATTTAAATGAAATGATACATGTAAAGCTCCAGGACTGTACCTGGCTAATACTGTATGCTATATAATTCTTTACTCTTATGATTTGTATGACTCTGATAAGGAAAAGAGAGGAAAAGTAGGACCACATTTACCCAGTCACGCATCTAATGCAACTGGGTGAAGTTGAGCAAGATCTGTCTCTCAGCATTGTTCTTCAAGATACTGCCACTGAAAATTCCAAAATTCTCTCAATAAAACGTGATCCTATCCTAAATAAACTTCAGGGCTATTAATTATATATAATGATAATCGAGTTACTATTACTTTAAAAACTCCCTGTTGTTTCTAATACATCTCTCTTTATGTACTCACTGTATATTTATAGAACATCTATTTCCCAGGCACTCTGCAGGACACATTAAGGGATACAGACATAAATAATACATAGCCCTTATTTAAAGCAGCTTACAATTAGTGAGAGTTCAAACTTGTACTTAAAAACCAACTGGAACAAAGAAGGGAATAAAGGAGTAAAGTGAGTTGAGGAAAGGATCTACCCCTTGCTTCCCAGCCAGAACACAGCATTAAGGTGCATAAATCCTTCAAGTTCTTGAGCCATTCAGTTGTGCTGCATCAGACACCATCATTAACACTGACCTGACTGGATTGATTGTCTAAGATCAATGTGTGACCAAAAACCCATTCCTCAGTATATAGATAGATAGATAGATAGATCTTTTATTTGTGATTTTAAAAGACAAAAGGGATGCCTCATTATTAATATTTATAATCTAATGAAGATCAGTGTTTATAGAGCATCCATATAAAACCATTAAATGTTGTATGTTACCACAAAGAAAAAAGAAATTGGTTTCTACTCTCTTTATGTACATCTCTATTTAATGCTTTACTTTAAAACTTTTAGTAACTTTAACAAGTCATACCCCAAAGAAGATATTTTATTTCTTTAAGTCTTTAGCATTATCTTATAATTAATGCTTTTACAAAAATTTGAATTTAATTTTTCCCAGAAAAAGAGTCTAAAATTCTATTGAATTGTTTATTTATATGCTGGTGAAGGTGACTGACATCTACCCTTAAAGTTGACTATGCTATGAATTTTTAAAAATTATTTCATATAGTTTTCAAATTAGCCATAAAGGGGAGAAACATTTATTAGGATTTAATAAAGGAGAAATTGAAGTGCATTAGTAGTCAAGTATCTTGTCAGAGGTCAAGTATTTGATAAATGCAGGAACCAGAACTCAGATCCAGATTTTTCTGACTCCAGAATCTCAATGATTAACAGCCAGCCTGTAACACAACTCAGTGTCTTTTTAGAAGAGAATCCTATTTAAGATCAATAACAGTTGGTTGGGGATTTAGCTCAGTGGTGCTGCTGCCTGACTCGCAAGTGCAAGGTACAGAGTTCAATCCCCGGTACCACAAAAGAAAAAAAAAAAAACAAAAAAAAAGACAACCAATAACAGTTGATATGCAATGTTATTTAGTAAATAACATCTTAGCCGATTGTTTCCTCTTAGTCCAGGTTTAATGGTTTTAGTGGTAGGATAATTAAATATATAGAAGAAAAATCATTGTTATTTCTAATACTTGTTTTTTAAAAATAGACGTCTGTGATGGGTTATTAAAGATCCCTGCACATATGAACTCATTTAACCATCTAAAGCAAAATAACTTTCGGTGCTTTTCCATCTCTATAGAAATGTCCTCAAATCAAAAAACCTTTTATTTTTAGTCAGCAAACAGTAGAACATGACTAGACTGTCGTGGTAAGAACTGCAAAAATGGTTATACATTGTTCTGTCATTTTTCCAGGTTTGACCTTTTTGCACATTCAAATGTTAGTGCCTGGAAGTTTAAGCAATCATCTTGCATAGGGACTATTAATGATTCACATTTCGGTCTAATCTCTCACCTGTGTGCTCCCACACATCCATTTGGAACCTCTTTTCAGTCTCTCCAGAGAATATCCCAGTATGTTAGATCTTTAGTGTTCACAATCTATTTTTTGACCTCAATTTCCATTCTGCCATCTTCTGCCAGTGTAGGGAAAGTGAGTATATTCTTGACACTGCACTGTTATTGGTTCCATTTTCTTCCTTGCCCCTGTGATCTTCTTTGTCTATAGTAACACCAGAGTTAGATTTGTAACTATAATTTAAAACCATATAGCACCTATTTAGAAGTTGCACCAAATTTAATCTTACTTTCCATCTTTATTTTATCTTCACTTCGATTTCTTAAGTTTTATAATTTTATCTATTTTATGACTTTTGTAAGCCCTCTCAAAATTTTTAGAGGGCAGTAGTAATAACTGATAGACATTGCCCTTTAAAGTTATAGAAAAAGACTGGGTTAACATTTGTCATTGCTTGACTCCTTGGATAAGACTCTGGTAAGCATTTTCTTTAACCTGTTATTCCCATCTTTACACTGAGCAAAGACTTTTTCTCTGTAATGTCACTTGATGGGTACCCCTCTGAAAATTGTACAGTAATTAAAGGTATATTATCAATTAACTAGTTTTTACAAGTACAAAGATCCTATCAGTTCAGTCCTTCCTGTATTGGTGTGTATGCTTGATTCTGATAAATCCCAACATACACTATTGAGAGAGCTGTAAATCCCCTCCACCAATCCCCTACTGTCAGTGTCACTAGAGTACATTTGGCACTGATATAAGTTCTAGGTCTTTCTACTACTATTGGAGTGACAGTATCTTACCAAGCGGAACTTTTGTGGCACTTAGAAGCGAATGGATGTTACCCTTTGTAATTTAGAGAATGTGGCTAGATAATAAATAAATCTACTCATTCCAGTTCTCTCAGTGGCAGAACTGCTTTTATGTCTAGTTCCTGATAACTTGGATTGATATCTCCTTGAACATATACTTTAAAAAGATTAACTTGGGAGAGCAAAAACAATTAAGGAATGCTACATAGACATGCCAACTCTCCACAGTGACTCTAATCATTATGTACTGCAAACATGCACTAATACAAACTTTAAAAATTTAAATTTTTAATTTTAAGGAAGCCCCCCAAAATCAACTTCCTTAATATTAGCTCTGAATGTCTTTTCCTAAGCAGGGTTTATTGTAGTTGCACTTTGATAAAAAAGAAAATCAAAGGGCCAGCTAAGTTGCACTTCCATTTTAGTGTGGAGACAATCAATGATGGAAACTTCCACATTGTGGAGCTGCTTGCCTTGGATCAGAGCCTGTCCCTCTCTGTGGATGGAGGAAGCCCCAAAATCATCACCAACTTGTCAAAGCAGTCCACCCTGAGTTTCGACTCCCCACTTTACGTAGGAGGTAAGCTTTCTTCTAAATTCAATAGACTCCGAAACCCTGTGGTGATTCTCATCATAGAATAATGCTACATTTATTGATGGCTGGTGTCATTGTCATTGACCAAGAGTGACCCATCAGAGAAAGATGGGCAGCAGGAGCAGAACAGAGAGAGTGCCAGGTAGGTGTTATGGGAATATTTTGTAATCCTAACTCTGGGTCAAACTAGATGTGTCATTGGGATAGAGAAGCTCAGTTAGTATTTCCTTTGTGTCTAGCACATGCTAGCTGATTTACTCATCATATCACTTAATTTCATATTTATTTGGTCTGTTGAAGAAGAAAATTTGTTAGTGGTCAAACCAGACAACGAATAAAATTATGAAACAAGCTAATGCAAATGGGGCAGTGGGTGACCACACCCCAGCTCCCTGAAGGAAGCAAACCCTACTACCTCTCTCAGATGTTATTTTGCTGGCGTTCCTGCACCACCAGCTGCTCATTCATGAAGATGATAGGATGACCATCAATGAATTTCAAATGATTAATAAGAGACTTTAAATGTACAGACTGCATTGGACTAGAAAGGAGATTTGCTTAGCAAAGTCCGTAAGGTTAATGAACAATAGAGGAGATGGGGAAGGGAGGTTAGGGCCGGAAATGATGGAATGAAGATCTTGGCTTTATTTTTGAGCAAAGAGAAGGAAGATGAGTAAGCAGATGAGGGAAATAAGTTTGAGGAAAGTTTTTAAGGATCCCAGGAGAAAAGACCTACAAAGGAGGGAATGCCCACTCTTGCCTCTATCTGGAGGAGCAAGTACAAACTAGAAAAAGCATTTCAAAATTGAGGAAAAGGAATAGGAAAGCAGGTGATGTTAAATTGAGATATATGTTGTTAAATTACATTGTTGATGAAATTAATTCATTTTATAGATAAGTAAGCTAAAGCTCTCAATGCACTTGATTTCTTCATCAAGACAGCTATTTTCATAAAATTCACTTCATTCCTTGCACAATAATAACTTTAGAGTGCTACACCATTACCTTATTTCCCATAAAGCCTTCCTTGAAGCCATTCCTTGGAATTGTCCTCTAAGACTGGAATGCTTCTATTTTCAATAATTTCAATACTAGAAAACTATAACACTTTGATATTCGGAATTTTTAGAAAGAGCTCAAGGTTTCCTATAAATATGAATGGAACACCTATCATAAGTTAGGAACTAAGATAATGGACACATAAAGGATACAAAGAAAAGAACAAATGTCTCCAGGAAAGTAAAGAATGCAGGTGCATCTTCCAGTAACAATACGTAGTGCATTGTGATCGAAGTTGCATAATGAGGCAACTCAGCAAATTGGCTTATCTAATTGCTCCATGGGAATCATGACTATGAAACTCATTAAAAATTTTTTTTAAAAAAACCTCTCCAGTTTTCCATGTACTCCAGTTAATAGGGTTGCTTTGGGATAGGTGAAACAATCCCAAATATGATTTGAAAGAAAAGGGATTATATTTATTGAGCACATGCTCTGTGACCAACGTGATACCTCTTTTACGATCTTAATCCTGGGGGATCTTAGGAAGTAAGTAGTACTTTCTCTGTTTTGCCATCCCTAGGGAACTGCCTCGGGGACTTTATAACACTTGTCTGAGTTCTCAAGGCTATCTATGGTAGTGGTAGATACTTTATTTAAGTCCAGGTCTGTCTGACTCCAGAGCCACCTGCTGCCACTCACCTCTTAACAAACAGCAGAAAGCAAAGCAATCTAAGTTATGTGGCTTTTAGTTGTTTATTTCTTGACTTGTGCTTCACTTGATGTTATAATGCTTTCATAAGAAACAATTTTACTTTAAAACCCCTTTAGAATGTGGTACAAAAGAAAAATAATAATTAAATACAGGATGAGATTCCTTGAGTCAGAATATTTTTCAAAATGGAAAAAACAATAGTTTAAACACCAAATGGAGAATGCTAATGCTTCTGAGGGTGGAAAGCCTGGAAGAATCCAAAGGGTACCTCTGTCTACCCAGGCCTGAAAGAAAGAAACAACCTTTGTCTGGGCCTCACTGCCAGGGGCCACTGGGCCTTCTGCCTTCCATCTCAGAGAGCGGTGTGGTCTCAGGGGTGATTAAGACTTCTAAAATACAAGGAAGTGTGAGACCACAACCTTGAATGCACCACTGCAGAGGCACGCAGGGCTGAGTCGGCCCAGAGAAACGTAGTAAACAAGGCCAGTTTAAAAATAGGGCCACCTCAAGGAGTCCTGCCCAAGGCCCCTGCCTCCTGGAGCTTTTTGCACGCGGATGAAGTATAGCTCAGCCCACGTTGGGATGTTAACTACCCACGATATAGTGTTCATGTAACACAATCACAGTTTAATCTTTGTGTTTTTCTGTGTAACATGCAAACCAGAACATTTATTACCTAATTGTGGGTTTAGGCTGGAGTAAGACACAGACAAGGATATCTGGCCATAAATTACAAATCTTTTCCGGTGCTGCCATTAGACAGAAGATCTCAGCATTGTCCCTTTCATGTCATTTTGATGCAGGTAGAGTCTGCAAAGGCTCAGAACTGTCTACTAAGTTATCTGTTCATTCATTGAATTTTTTCTATAACCCATGGCTTACAGGAAGGGGTTTTTAAAAAAACCATGGATCTACTTTTATTTAGCAATTAAAATGTAGTTTCCTAACCAAGCACATGAAAAGGTTGACTCAGAATAGTTCTTGGCTGGGGGTACAATTCAATGGTAATGCACATGCTTAGTAAGCATGAAGAGGCATAAGGCCTTGAATTCAACCCTCAGCATCAAAAAAATTTTTGATTTTTAAATAACTCAAATACTGAGAATATTTCCTGATTGTATATGTCCTATTGAAAGTCCAATATATGTATGATGTACAAAACATTTTCATTTACAAATTATTGTAATCAAAACTAGACCTTTATAACTGTGTGGTTTGGGACAATAAAGAACACATTCACCAATTCTTTTTCCCTGCAGTGGAACTTTGTCAGTCTGTATTTAGTCTTGACATATGCACGTGTGAGCATTATGCTTCCATCAAAATGAGCTATTCAGGGCCAGGGATTTAGCTCAGTGGTTCCGCCACCTGCCTTGCAAGCTCAAGGACCCGAGTTTGATCCCCAGTACCAAAAAAACAAAACAAAACAAAATGAGCTATTCAAAATAGTTTTGGGAGAAGTTCATTTTTAACCTGTGAAGTGATCATAAACATGTGGATGCTAAAGCCACATGGACGGATATCATTCAGTTAGAATGACTTACCCAGAGTTAAGAATTTCATGTCATTTGTCCTTTCCTGGAAATGACTGTGCTGTAGTAACCCAGTTTCCAAGGCCGCATGGACATGTACTGAAAGGCTGTACTTCTGGAACTTCAAAGCCAAGATATGTAATTCAGCACTTGTCCAAGGGTAACCGTGGACCACCTGCATCAGAATCAACTCTGCTGCATTTGGCATTTAGTTTTCTGCACCTGTCTTCTACCCTATGGGATCAGAACTTCAGGATGGGGAGAGACCTGGGAAACTGCCTTGTGGATGCACACCACAGGTGGTCCTTATGTGTGACAAGCATGACACAATTGCTCTGGTCCATCTGCTCACCATATAGAGGAGAACCCCAAGCGCCAGAGAAGGGAAATGATCAGCCAGATGCACTCAAAAACAAAATTAAAGACTTGACCCCTTGCCTGGAGCTTTTGTTCACATATCTGCCTGACTTTGGTGCCTGCAAAGAGTCAAATGATTCCTTTGATGTGAATGAGAACAGCACACAGGGCCCAGAGTGCTGTGGTTTCAATGTCTATAACCATAAAGTCCCCCCGAGCTGAGCGCCTGGGTCTCCCACCCCAGTAGCACAGAGTCCAGGCGCAGCTGGGGCACGAGCACCAGGGGATAGTCAGCCACTCCAAGGGCCTCCAGGGACCTGGATGGTTGCTTCCCATAGGACTTCATCCAGGAACTATTTCAGGGTCTGGCTCAGGCCATGGAAAGATTCTTCAGTTTTGCCAAGATGAGAGTTACCAGATGGCTGTCACTAGTGGAATGTATTTATGCCAGTATTGAAAATATTCTGTTTGTGAATGAATTTCTTTTGTAGTCCCAATTTTTTGGAATATGAAGCTTTCACTCTCAATTTAGCAAGAAAAGTACACGATGTGGATGAGGTGCTGTCCTGATAAGAAGTAGGGCTGGGCTCTTCAGGCACTCACTTCCCTGACTGAGCTGGGGATGTTGCCCCTGGTGCACTGGATTCCTTGCTAATTTGGAATTTCTGGGGACCAGGGGGAGTGGTTGCTTTGAACCCCAGCTCTCACTCCCTGAGATCCGGTGGACTGAACCTTGACTTGAAGAATGGGGAGGTTCCTCTCCTCAGTCACGTTGTAACCTGAACTTTCTGGGTGATGTTGAGCACACACACCACCTACTCTCTCTGAGTCCTGGCTCTTCCTCTTTAAGGGGCAGAATTAGGGGGCTACAGATTGTGCTCTGTTGAGCTCTGGCCTTCCCAAGGGGTGTGTGGTGTCTGGAATGAGAGCCATAGAGAGAAGACAGACTAATCGCTTTGTCTTTACGTACTGTAGTTCTGCTTCCAGGCTTTATATATGGCTGTTTCTATGGAAAGTTTTGTTTGAAAGAAACTTAAAAATTAAATATTGACCGCCAGTGAACTTGGCTCCTTATTCTAACTGTCTATTAGAAATTCCTGGAACTTCTTCCAGAAGCAAACCAAAACCACATCTCTCTTCTTCATCCCAGCCCTCACCCACATATCTGATTTAGTGGGGCTGAGTTCCCAAGCATCCACATTCCTGGGTAGCAAATGGCTGAGGACCCACTTGACAGCCTGACCTGTTCTATGCTGTCCCTCTCCAGGCATGCCTGGGAAGAACAACGTGGCATCTCTACGCCAGGCTCCAGGGCAGAACGGCACCAGCTTCCATGGCTGCATCCGGAACCTTTACATCAACAGCGAGCTGCAGGACTTCCGGAAGGTGCCCATGCAGACAGGCATTCTGCCTGGCTGTGAGCCATGCCACAAGAAGGTGTGTGCCCATGGCATGTGCCAGCCCAGCAGACAGTCAGGCTTCACCTGCGAGTGTGAAGAAGGATGGACGGGACCCCTCTGTGACCAGCGGACCAATGACCCTTGTATGGGAAATAAGTAAGTTTGGTGTCCTTGAGCACGTGAGCTCAACCCTCAAAGTGAAACCTAGCAAAAGTAGAAAGGGAAGTAGAGGGAGTGAAGGAGGGAAACAAACCAGCCCAGTACCCCTCTGGGCTTTATCTACCTCTTCGGCCGAATGCACATATTTTCCTGTGACTCTCTGCCCGCCCTCTAGATGCGTACATGGCACCTGCCTGCCCATCAATGCATTCTCCTACAGCTGTAAGTGCCTGGAGGGACACGGGGGTGTCCTCTGTGATGAAGAGGAGGATCTGTTCAACCCCTGCCAGACGATCAAGTGCAAGCATGGGAAATGCAGGCTCTCAGGACTGGGCCAGCCCTACTGTGAATGCAGCAGTGGGTACACTGGGGACGGCTGCGATCAAGGTAAGCCAGCCTACTCTGGAGCACCTCCTGCTCCTGGCACAGCAAGAGGGGCGTGCCATCTCTGACGAAAGAGAAAAGATGAAAGAAACAGAGGCAGGAGTGGCGGGAGAAAACACCCAGTCTTTGTAGTACTTGCAGTTGCTGCTGCTGTACTTTCAAGTGTTAAGAAGGCACCAGATGTGAAAGATCCTAAACTCCCACAGTAAGACTTTACAGGGCCCCGAGAGCGCTTGTCACAGCTTGATTAGCTGTGAATTCTTCTTTACCTTCCATGGAAGCACGTTTCCTTTACTCACCTGCTACCTTTACCTGTTGTTCTCATCCACAGCTAGAATTTATTAAGATCCTGCCCCAGAGAAGATACAGCTAATAATTCTGTTCTGGCTTTTGTACACAGTCACCCTTGACCTTAGAATTGACAGATTTATCCCAGCAAATTAGGCAGGTGAGGGGGAGAGAAGAAGGCTGGCTGACTTTGGCCCACCTCTCCCTGTTCCCTGTCTCCAGAGTGAGGATGTGCCTTGCCTCCAGCTGGCGCAGACTTTGTTTTGTTCACCAGAGAAACGTGCCCGCTGAAGCTTTTAGCAGATGTCTCCTTTTTGAACTACTTCATCTGAGGGTATTTGTAAAGTTAGTGGAATGTTACTTGTATTAAGTAACAGATTGGATAACATTAGACTCCAGGTCTAATAAATTAAATTGCATTCTCTCTGAAACTACTCCCCGTGGTAAACAAAGCCAGCTGTTAGTAGGGTAAAAACAGAAGAGGTGTATTTTTTCCCTTCTTTGCAATAAAGGAAAAGATTTAAGAATCCAATTTTCTTGTCAGTGCAATCACATGGTATTTATAGTCTACACAGAGGGCATTCACTTTGCTGGAAATAAAAGCCCAAAAGAAGCATTCTTTACAGCCTAGCAGGCTATGCCACCAGTCCAAATTATGTAACCTAACCCTAAATGTTGCGTTTACAAAGGGAGAGAAGCAGAGACAGTGAGTGCCCACTGGATTGAGATGTGGATTCACTCACGGTCATTTTGCATGATTTACAGTGCCTGTCCTTAAGACGCTTGTACTTTTTGGTTCTTTTCTAGAAATCTCTTGCCGAGGGGAACGGATAAGAGATTATTTCCAAAAGCAGCAGGGCTATGCCGCCTGCCAAACCACGAAGAAGCTCTCCCGCTTGGAGTGTAAAGGCGGGTGCTCGGGAGGGCAGTGCTGTGGACCTCTGAGGAGCAAGCGGCGGAAATACTCTTTCGAGTGCACGGACGGGTCTTCTTTCGTGGACGAGGTCGAGAAGGTGGTGAAGTGTGGCTGTGCTCGGTGTGCCTCCTAAAAGCGCGTCCCTGGCTGCTTCCGTGCTGGCAGGGCTTGTACGGGTCACTTCTTGACCAAGTTGGACCAATTCATGCTTCATAGTGGAAATATTTGAAATATATTGTAAAATACAGAACAGACTTATTTTTATTATGCGAATAAAGACTTTTTTTTTGCATTTGGAAAACAATAATAAAAGACATGCTGGAACTGAAGCTTCCCCTATGCTGGAGAAGTGTGAAGAAAGCTATAGTTGGAAGCGTTAGAGCCACGAAGGGGACCATTGCAATGGGAGATCCAACTTTTGAACAAACTGAAGATGAGCAGCACCACATTCAGGACCCAGAGACTGATGAGCTACTGTGCACTGATGTGAAGTCGCCCGGAGCATAAAACCTGTGTCCCTAATCCACACCCATGCGGTTCCCGAGGACACTCGAAGCACACGTGTGTGAGTGCTTCTGCCAGGCAAAAGAATGGAACCCCGGAATTCACAGATAATGGAAACGAATGAGGAAAGGCTTATGCAAAATACAAAGTATCTCGAAGATCCGGGTTCCATTCTCGAGAGGAAATGGGAGTGGAATGCTATGCTATATTTTACCTTCTTGTTAAATGTCAGCATGTCAGCAGAAGCAGCACACAAAAGTGATTATCTACCATTTTCCAGTATTAATTTTTGTAATATAAATGATAAAGGAAATGATAAAAGAACCAATAGATTATTGATAAATTAGTAATAATATGAATTTTCATTTCTATGAGTTCTAAACAGCCCTATACAGTATTCAGTTTCATGAGGAATATTTATTGTATCAAAGTACATTGTACTTAACATTTTAGACCATTCTTTTGCTGTTTCTTGATGCTTTAATATATATTAATTTATAATTATCCTGATATTTTTGTACATTTTTCAAACTTAAAAAAAAATCAGGATGTTTTGTTTGCAATAGTACTAACATAGGGTGTTATCTCCGGATAAATATATGTCGGTCTGTTTGTTGACCTTGACCTGTTTGTTGATCACTGGTATCTCTGACCTACTGGCTCATTCAGGACACCTGCAGGGGGCATGGGAAGTCCAGGAGGAGAAAAGGCACCTCCGTGTGTGAGTCTGCCCTGCACGGGCAGAAGAGCCCTTCTTGAGGCTTGTCCCCACAGCAAAGAAATGGTGTGTAGCAATCGGCACTAGGAGTAGATCTTTTACAAATTAACATTTTCTTCATGGGTTCTGCCCCTTTATTGGGGGGCGGGAGTGGGAAAAAGGAAGACTGCCATGTCAGAACTTGTAAGTTTTTTTTCCCAAACAATAAAACTTCTTTGTTACCTTAATGTTCCTACGTTAACATATTTGCTGCTAAATTACAGTGCAGAATTGATAATGATTTATTGTGGATGGTACTCTACCCTTATTAAAATCCCAGGGTGCCCTGTAAAGATGCAGATGTTTCTCCTCACCCCCAAAAAAACTTTTTACAAAGAAAATTAGATATACTTGTATAATTCAGTGTGCTTTGTCTTTCTCCAGACTGATATCAGTTACACTACTGATGTTTGTAAATTAAACAGATATTTACTTCATTAACAGCTTGTTGGTTTTCCTAGAAATTGCACAGTAAACTCATCCTGAAGAATTTGTTAACATGATACAGAAAGAACCAGGGCGACAACTTAATACCTTGTTGCCTGAAATTGGTTTGAAATTAGCATAGTGTCAAATCTAGGGATTTTTGAATCGCTACATGAAAGAGTTATTCCTGGCTAGGAAAAAAAAAATGTAGATATTCAATTAATTTCACACACACACATAATATCTCTGAGATAAAATCTAACTAAGGGTATTATTTTTCCTCTACTTTGTTTTTGCTCCTTTCACTTAGACCCTGACCATCCTGACCTGGTAACCACTAAGATCAGAAAATAATTGGCTGAGTCATTAATACTTGCCATTAGAATAAGATTTCTTCCTTTCTTTTTAGGGAAATCACGCACAAATATACTCACCATCTCACAGATGTAGCTATTCGATCATTTCTTCATCCTCGTTGAAAACGCCTTCATTTATGTTACATAAATATTATATAACAATTATAAAACACTCATATAGTCCCATTGGTTGCTTTCTTCAAAGGTTTTTAATCACTTGTTAGGAAAAAAAAGGGGAAAAATAATATGGCTTAATTTTTTTTCTATAGATACACGCTGCATTAATGACCAGTGTTCATTGATTGCTTATTGTATGGAAGGTACTATGCTAAGAGCTTTATATGAAATATCTCGTGCATCTCTATAAATTGATGGAATTACTGTGCTCCCTGTTCTACTCTGGCATGCAAAGGCTTGAAACAAAGGAGCTGGACTCAATGTCAGGCTGTTCAGACCAAACACTCTATGCTCTAGTATTGCAAGCAGCATTTTAGTAATCACCCTCTCCACTGAAGGTCCTTTATGCCCTGGAGATTATTTCTACACCACAATAATTCTTCTGTATTGACCATGTAGGTTTAACCTAGATTAGAGGTTCCATATTATTTTTGTTTTCGGGGGGAGTTCTTTTATTAGGAAAAAAGGGGGTTCTTAGAGGTTCCTGACTGCATTCTTTCTCTTTCCTGCTAATAAAGGCACAAGATGAAATTATGTTTCCCTAGGATTTAGGCTGACTTAGAAATTCCCTTAGGAAATTTTTCTGCCTTGTGATGATATGGCCTTCTGCAGTTGAGGCTTTCTTTGAGAAAATCCAATGGCCAGATAATTGCTGGTAAATGAGACAAATTAAGGTAAATTATTCATGTCATAAATAGGTCCTTATGAGGCTTTGGTTAGAGGATTTCTTTAAACAGAAAACTCACTATTCTAGAGCTTTTTCCAACAGAATTCAATAAAGTTATGACAACAAATTTTGCACATTTCAGAATCAAAACCACTACATGGAATAATGTACATTGGCAATCTGAAAAGATAAAGTCATGAAACATCCCACTGTTTTTACTCTTCAATTCTCACATGAGTGAGGCTCGGTGAGGAAATGCCATGGGGATTTGACATGTGTTCGGTTAAATATGTGCTCACTAAATAATGGCCACCTAATTCTTTGGAATTTGTTTTCACCACTCTTAAAATTATTTTTAGGCAGTAAGAGACAAATCTCCATTTTAGAATTGCTCTGAGAATTTTCTTTTTTGGATGATTTTCTTTGTCACTAGCAATTCCTTCTGGATTAAAAGATTTGAAATTGATTCAGGGCATAGAGATCTTGGTCTTTATGGTGTCATCTGCCTCATGTAGTGACCATTATTTCAAAAGCAATGTTTGTAAAAATAGATAAGCCATAAAAAGTACATGAAGCTTTATGTATAGCTTTACATAATGTGTATAAAAGTCATAAAACACAGGCTATTTTCATTCTTAATCTATTCTGTGTACTCTCAAGTCATTTAACAACATTTATTTCCTATCTCCTATCAAGTGCAAGAAACTATGCTTAACTTTCAATCTGGTTTCAGATGAAGGAGATCCCTAATGCCATTTCAGAGTGTACTTTTTGTGCAGGTGGGGTTGAAGTTAAAGTGGGTAATAGATATTACACCACTGATCAAACTACTATAGAATTTCAGGTAGTGAGAAGCATCTTGAAGGAAATTATGAGATACAATTTACACTGTGAGGTTCAATCAAATTTTTACCGTGAGGTTTTAACAGCCCTTGAGGAAGTGACATTTAAGCTTAGTCATAAGGGATAAAATGGGATCTAGGACCCAGAAAGAAGGATATACAAGTACAGATGGATTAGACATTTATCCAGAGAGAGCAGCCTGTGTGTAAGCCCAAAGAGAGACTTATGTTGTCAAGGAACCAAAAGAAGCAGGTGTGCAGAGTGAGGCCTATATTCATTTTATGCGTGTAATCCAACAGTGGCTACTTCTTGGCATTCTTAACTCGGTGTGCAGTCCATATGTCCAAATTTTTTTCTTTTGAGCATCTATTTGCAGTGGCCTTTCAAAAATAACAACCAGAAGGGATTTTCATTTTAAAACAGCAACTAGTTATCTGTGGTTAATGTAGCTCCCCTGCACTTCCAAATAAAATACCTCTGAAAACAGAAAATATGAATACTCACAATAGCGCTGAAATCTAGAACAGTTTCCTTCCCACAGAAATGTTCATGAACTGAAAAGCCAATTATGAAGCTGAGTAAAAAGAAACAATTGCTGGCCAATCTCACGTATTCTTCTTTATTTAAACTAAGGCCAGTGACTCAGGAAGTTATGTCAACTGGAATCCCAGCAGAAAATATCTACATTACAGGTGTTGATGAAAAGCTGCATTTTATTCATAGTATGGTGATGGCATCTACTTGGAAACACTTTGACAGATCACAAAAGTTGACCTGGGAAACCCCAGCCTTTTGCCTACCAACCGATTATCTACTTGTTAAAAGGAAACAGTATTCTCCTCTAGGGCGTGTGAAAAATATCTTTAACTCCCACTGTTAGATAAAACTCAAACTCTTTAGTATGGTATTCTCGATCTCTCACAATTTACCCTTCTCAAATTAGTTTTTAATATGTGCTCTTAGATTGACAAATGCTAGGAAAGGATATTTTAAATCAAATAATAGGCTGGAATTGTAGATGAAAGAATTATCTACATTAAAATGGTAGTTGAAGCCAGGAAAATGGGAAGGCTAAGTTAGAGATGCAGCAGAATAAACTTGGCCAGAAAAGTAAGACCTGACTTTGGACAATGCTCATTTCTAAAATGAGTGGTCTCCAAATGGAGAAAAAGAAGACAGCGGTTTTAAGAAAGTAGTAACTGAAAGTAGTAACTGTATTGTCATGGGTTAAGACTAATAGACTGGACTCTTAGTAATTCTGATATCAAAAGGAGAATCAAAACAACTGAAAAAACTGATATAATCCTGGAGCTGTCATTCACTGTCAAGTATTCGTTTACTTACCTATAGTCACAGCTTGTAAGAGGTGGAACAAACACTCGAGGTATACATATTCAGGAGAGAATACTGAAGGTCAAGCTGGCAGAGCAAGACCGATCTATGCCATCAATTACATTATGTGGGCCAGTTAAACAATAGAGGGAAAAAGTAGAGTCCAATATGGTGGGATTGAGGAAATAGGATGCCTGAGAACAAGAAGCCACAAAATCACCCAGAATAAAAAGTAATTTGTATACAAGAACTCTTTTTCAAATGGACTGCTCGGCTGCCTTCCTTTTCCTCCCACAAAGGGGAAAGAGAGAGCACTTACAAGACTTACCATTGTTTGGAGATTTAAAATTTTGCTGAGTGAAGACATTTCCCTCTTGCCCTTAGGATGGGTTTTGTCTTTGTGTCAATATGTGGGTGGCTGAATTTGGATTTAAAAGAGAATTTTTTTTAAACCACATACACAACACCAGAGAGTGAGAAAAACAGCCACAGAGACAATGGTTTAGAAAACCTGCTCTCATTAATCTTACTCTCCCTTCATGAAGCGGTTAGATTTTTGTTCATTAGTTTTTTCACATATATTGTGGCAGACAGATTAAGTGACTTGCCCAAGGTCACACAATCTAGGTCTCTTGACTCCAATCATAATGCAGTATTGATTTCACTGGAATTGATTGCCAAACTCGGTGAACGGCCTCATGGGGTGATGCAGGAGGAATAAGTGTTTCTCAAGGAGACTTATTTTGTTTCTGGTTTTTTTAATGCCCACAAATAATACTCACCTTTCGAATAAAGGTGCATTAAAATATTCTTAATACCTCATTTTATAAAGGAAAATAAATAGCCCTCTTAACTATGATTTTCTTCCAGTAACTGCAATTGAAGAGACAAGACGAGTTTTCCTGGTTGTTTCAGTATTTCCGGGCATTGTTCTGGTCAGGTGTACAATGATTGAATGGGCTGACCTGGAGCAATTGAATTCTGTTGCTAAGACAGTCAAAAAGACAGGATTGAACATGCCCTAGTCCAGTTATAACAGTTGTAAAGTCACATCCTTGGATTCATTCCAGGTCACAAGCCATTCTTTGTGAAGAAACACAAAACAAAACAAAAAGATGTGGAGAAAAACCTTGAGAGGGACTTCTATTTGAATGAGCGTGTCTGATAATGTCTTATCCACAATCTGAGAGGCTCACATTATCACAGAAGGGAGAGACATGCACATCGGTGAATTGCCAATCTTGCAGTTGCTTGGTCTTGTTTGGTCTCTGTTCACAATATTACCATTCAGTTACCTCCACCAGCAGTTCTTACTTTCAATTACATCTCCACATTGATTTTTTTCTTCCTATTATTCCTGCTTTAGCTACAATTCTTCTCTTCTGATGCCTGTCAACTCCTTTTTGGAGCTGTAAAATGAGCAGGAACACATTTCTGAATGGCACACACAATACCCTGTCTGATTAGGAAATAAATCTCTTATTTGGCAAAGAAAAAGGCATGATGGTCTAACAGCTCATAAAATGAAGTGAAAATCTTTGTATCTGACTCCTCATTTAACCTTATTTTCCTGTTTTTCCTTTCTCGTAAATACCTCTATATTGTGCCAATAGAAAGACACTCTGAGAATAAAAAATTCA